CCCCAAAACCCCAAAACCCCAAAACCCCAAAACCCCGCAGCAACTAGATAATTCAAACATAGTATGAGATTAGTAAATATATTTAGAACTGGAAACAATATAACGAATTTGTGTTTTATATCAGAGCTCGATGTCGTATTCTTCGTTTTCCAATACCATTTTAGACATTCCCTTGGAGTCTTCTTGGGCCTTGGTTCTCTCTTTGAGTTTAAGTTGCAAGAGAGTGTTTGAGACAACACCAATTCTTATATCGATAGATTTAATGTCCTGCTTGACTTGGGCTATTGACTTTTTAATTTTTTGGAGAGGACTGTTATCGCTGAATGATTTTCCTGTATCCTCGATTTTCTTCTCTACCTAGGAAAGCCTGTCATTGACTTCACTAAGTTCAGCCTCCATATCTGCAACATTTTTGCTGACAGTGGCGAAACTGCTTTGAATTTATTTAAGATGCTCAGAGTGAGCCCTATAGTCGCCAGTCATTCCTTGGAAGCTCTTTGATAGGACACCTTCTTTCTTTGAGATTCTTTCTAGTGCTTTGCTGACTTCATCTGAGAGTCGCTCCAACTTGACTCTTACGTCTGGAAGACTCTGCTTAACCTGGTCAGCATACTTCTTGGTCTGGTCCAAATGACTTCTCCATTCCTTGCCGTCATTTGGGATGTTACTGATTTTCAGCTTATGAGCAACTCTCTCAACCTCCATCATCCACTCTTCTCTGCTGATAGATGACTGGATAATTTAATTTTGCAAGTTCTCCTCCTAAGCATCTCCTCCTTAACCAAAGTCTGCAAATTCTTCAATATCATCATCGTCGTTTTGGTTGTTAGCCAAATCAGCAATATCAGCTCCTCCATCCATATCATCTCCCATGTCATCACCATCGTCTTCAAGTCCAGCAGCATCATCCTTGATTACAAACTTCTTGAATTTGAATTTATTCTATAGTGAGACACTGCATAGCTTCAACAATACTGCACATACTCCATCTCCATAACCTGTCTTCAACTTATTAGGAGGCATATCTAACTCAATGCCTAGCTTTTTCAATTCAAGGACTATAATTAAAGATGATTATTATCGTAAATTCTTTTGTCTTAGTGAGAGTTTCATTTTATTGCAATTGCTAGTTCTATGAAAAATGGATACTTACTGACGTTTTATGAGGCGGTCATTGGGTCATCGTACTTATTCCAGCCGGTGACTTGGTGATTGTTTATTGAGAGAAGGTATGAGACAAGTTGGACGAAGTAAATGAATTGCTCACTTGGATTGCTGCTGGCAATGGCGAAATGAGTCCTTGATAAAGGTTTGAATCCCCTGCAAAAAATAATCAGCATCGTTATGTTTTCAAGTGATTGGAGATTTGATATATTACTTTTGTCTGCAGAACTTATTCTCGTAGTCTAAAAGCTTCAACATCTCTACGATGTCGTCCATCATGATAACTGGGTCTGCTCCACCAGGTGCCTATTTTAGTATTGAATGAGTTAAAATTTTACTCCTTGCGCTCCTTCTTCCATTCTTATTTTAAATTTTAAAAAATTATACTTTTAAATTAATATCACATCATATTATAAACTTGCTTGTCAAGCACATTGACTGCATCTTAGAAGTATGTCATATTTGCCGCTAGAATAAATGCCAAGTGATCTAAATCATATTCCTTGTAGTGAACCAGATTTTTAATCTTAAGCTTATTCTCTGCATTGTCTTGAGGGGTAGCTAGGGTATCAAATTTACCCACAAACATAGCTATAGGGATGTCAATTGTCGAAATATCCAACTCAAGGGGCGTTGTTGAGCCGTATTTACCAAAATTTCCTACCATTCCATAATCAAATCGCTAGAATTTTCCTGAAGTTAAAATTTATCCCATATGCACAAGATTGTTTAAACTGGTGCCAGCAGTAAATCGCTAGAAATACACACTTATTTTGTCTGGATTCACCAAATCCATTCTAGTATCAGCAAATATACCCAGAGTTGAAGTGCAAATTGAAGGCAGGACAGTGCATAATGAGCCAATTGTTTAAAATGAAGAAGATTGAGACTGAGAGAACACCTCTAGATAACCTCCTTACTCTAAGAGGAAAGGCACAGCAGTGTTATACGACATCTACTTCAAAAAGTCCTAAGTAGAATATTTCATTGTTATTACTGGTGCCAGAGTCAGGAAAGTCCTGATCTTGCCCTGTAATCTGGCCTTTTAATTAATCAAAGAATAAAGGCCAATTGTGGTGCCCTGAGAAAAGCCTACTAGACTTAGTTGAGTTTTTTTTGTGACTCTTAAGATGTAGTCGATAGCTGTTGGAAGATCAATATCACCCATTTGCTCAAAGCTGAAATCCCAGAATTCATAGTCTGATATAGCTTCGTAGAAGTTATGATTTTTAGAATAAGAATTTCCTCTTACATTCAAAAGCCACACATCATACCTACCTGTATCAACCAATTAATATGCTGGAGCAATTTTTGGGCCATTAATAACGAAACCCTCACTTGATGACATGATTCCATGAAGCATTAGCACTGGCTCTCTTGTCTGTGCATTGATCATGGCTTATGACAAGGATTCACCTTGTGGTCCAGGGATTCTGAATATTTATAATATGTAACCATCAGGAGTGTCTATAAACTTTTTCCAAACTGGGTATCCATGACTCTTAGTCATCTCTAGCATTGCTCTCTCTGGTTCAGATTGCTGCCTTATCTGTGTAACAATGCCCCAAATTCCTGTACTCGCAGATAAAAGCAGGATAAAAATAAGATTTGCAATTTACTACATTAATTTTTAAATTGATTTATTCTAAGGTTATACAAAGAATTATTGATAAATTTTAAAAGTCTTAATCACTAATTAGAGTCTTTTTAAATAATAATTAATTAATTATAACTTTGAGATAATTAAATCTGTACTCTCATCTACGTCTATGTCTATCTTTGCTATCTTCTCTATTTTTACCAATTCTTTTTTCATCTCTTTTGTAGTCCTCTTTGTAAGACTTATGGTCTCTTTTATGATCTCTTTTTCTATCTTTGCTACGAGATCTAGAGTCAGAAGAACTATGAGATCTTGATCTCCTTTTATCTTTCCTTTCTCTGTCTCTTGAAGATGAAGAGTAAGACCGAGAGTATGAGGGGGATTGCGAAGATGAAGAAGAAGATCTGTATTTAGAGGTAATTCTTTACTTAGGATCTCTTCCATCTCTTCTCTCAATTACTTAATCTGTTGCTTTACCCTTATTCCAATCATCAATATCAGCTCTTCCACTTCTGCTTTTCTATTCCTTTTCTTATTGCTACTTTTCATCCTCTGATTCAATATACTTTTTATCTTCCTCTGATTTCTACTCATCTACATCCTATTCCTCATCCTGCTCTGCTATATTTAAGGCGCTCTCTCGAGGATCTAGTTAGTTATCTTCTTCATAGACGTGGCGTTTATTAATTCTTGGGAAGCTGACATCACAAAAAATTTCATCTCTTATTAAATGATCAATGAATTCATCAATGTGCATTGCTTCAAATTAACCATCCTTCTTTCTGAATGCTACTCGTCTGTAATCAGAATATATTGGCTCAAGAACTTTAAACACATCTTATCCCTTTGCTGTGAGACGCCAGTAGAAAGCCCCAAGCAATCTGATGTACTTATAATCAGTGTTCTTAATAAACTCAAGCACAATATCAGTATCTGGCTAAATCTAGAGCATTTTCAAAATGAGACACATGAACTTGGTAGGTCTGCTATTGCCTCCGTATGTTCCGCCTACGTACTTTAACTCTATAGCTCTATCTACTAATGTTTCAGCTGTGAGGGCAAAGCATTTCTCTTTGTAATAGGGATCATTGTGGATATTTTTCCTCATCACAGTGTCTATCAAGAATTAAGGGTTAGTACCATGGATTTACTTGGCCCTGGGATCAGTTCTATTAGCCATTTCAAAGTATACTTAATTAAATTATACTTTTAGACATTATATTCTAGCATGCGGGGTTTTGGGGTTTTGGGGTTTTGGGG